GCGGGATGGGAGCACAGCGGTGGAGGTGGTGGTAGTTCAGCGGATACGGACTCGGATAGCGAATAGTGGCTCAGTTTGCTTTCGTTCGTCCTTGTGGAGAGTTCGGCAGAGCACGTGCAGGCGCGTGGTTCACGCACGTTGTGCACCGTATTCTTGTTATTCTTCTTCGGTCCCCATTTGACTCTCTGCTCTCCGGGTTCACGTAATAAAACCCACTGGATTACACACCGCTTGCACGTCTCTACCCCGTCATCGCGTGTGAATGTGGTCGTGATACACGGAGGTCAGTGATCAAGGGATATACGCTCTGTCGGAGGGTTGCTCCGATTAAGTGTCCAGTTTGTCCACTGCAGGATGAGTGCGATGACACGGAGTTGGTTCCTGTGCAGTTTATTCTTTCTGGGATACGTTCAAGGTGAGTGGCTGGTTTCAATCTATGTTTTATGGTATTTGGTGAACGGCATCGGTACTCTTGGGCTCGAAGAGTTTTTCTTTCATTGGCAGTTTTCTTTCTCTGAGACTTCAAATTGCATCTATCACTTTTTAAAGAAGAGGGTTTCGTGTTTCTTCAGTAGCATTGTTCCTGGCGTTGTTAAGTCTTGTTAGGGTTGTTGGTTACTGGACAAAACAAACCTATATTTTTTTAAGGTGTCCACAACCTTGGTTAAAGAGTTCCTCGTGTTCCTCCACTTTCTTACGTTCCATGTACTTGACGATAACATGAATTGATGATAATTTTGTACAGCAGGTGTAACGCGTAGCTTTTCAGAGTTCAAGTGTCCTTCGATTTCGAACTTGACCCGGTGTTCCGTGAGTGACAGTTATTTTTTCTTTGGCCGAAAGCCGCGGCGAACACCCGACAGACGCACTATTTTCATCCACTAGCGTGTCACGTTTTTAAAGTAGCTGGGAAAACTGTTTAGTTTTACGACGCAGGGTAACGCTGCTCCTAATGCTGTGGATCTTTTTGTGGTATCCGGTGAGAACTGATAGTGTCCTTTCGCGAGCGTTGTACACGAAAATACACGTCCCCACGTGTGTTATCTCGTTCGGATTTCGAACAGCAGCATGCGTGTCGTCGAAAGAACAGCATCGTTATTCTTCGACGAGCGTTCGAAAATGTATGTACCGCGCTAGCCCTGTTCGCACCCCCGGAAACACTTGGAGAGATCCTGGAGATTACTCATTCGCGCATCCGCCAACTCTTCCACTAATGTGTTCGAAATTCCTCTCTCTCTATTTTACGATAGTGCCGGCGCGCGGCACGCTTCCTGCCGTGCATCTTCTTCGATCATCGCATCTCCATTGTGCGGACAATCGACACAATGGGAGAGATTTTTGTTTCCGTCGCATCTACGTTCTTTAACCCCAATGCGCTTCTGTCTTTTTCCTTCCCCGAAATTTTTCGGCGATTTCGGCGTTATTTGGGCGCGTTACACGCGATGGTCCTCTTTATGCTTTCGATTATCGAAGCTTTTCTTGTTTAATTTTGGGACATAATTATGTTAACCCATTGCAAAGAAGGGCTGCTATAGCCATCCATTTTTTGGCGATATGTAAGCAAATTACGACTATAGCCATCCTGCACATTTTCATTAACAAAAAAAGAAACATTATTAGTACGGACTGTACTAATGCATTTATTTGTTTATTCTTCAGTCACACATTGAAGAAAAATAACGTAACAGTGTAGATAACATGTAAGTTGATTTTGTGTACGATTTTTCATCACCTGAACAAGGTTAAATTAATAACCTGTTGATTTTAAATGACAGTGTGTATGACTTTAATCTCAATTCCTTTACATAACGTGTAAGACGTGTAACGTGGAAAAACGCTTTAATGAAAATACTTACTCGAATGAAAAGTAGAAAGTTCTCAGAAAAAAATTATATGCTTCTGTTTAAAGAAAGATATTCTGGAATCTCGCAATGAAAACGATTTTACGAATGAAATTGTTCTGTTCTTAAATAATGACGTACTTTATGCGTTTTAAAAGAAAAGAAAACATGATCTATTTCCGGGCAGTTCTAATTTTTGAAACGCTTTTAATTTTGTAGTAGTTTTGATTGGAAAATTACACTCTGCCCGAGAGTGAAATTCGGTAATATTACTAAGGTGGAATGGGGTAAGTGCACCCCAGTTTTCAGTAAGTTTGACTTTCAACCCATATATCTTTAATTTGTTTTATAATACTTTAACATTTATTGAAATCAACGAATACTTGAATTAATACGCTTTAATTAATATTGACAAAAAAATTTCTAATTTAATTCTCGCTAATTTCACTTGTATATTTTAATTTTTTAAGAAAATTGTAAAGAATCCAACAACTGTGTACTTTTCCCGAAAATAGGGCATGTGCACAACCGACTATTAAAACCGATTTGAAGCCTTATATCATATGCTACGGGGCAAGGGTATAACTATTGATATGTTTGCTATAAAATACTTTTTACCGCATTCAAATATGTTTCGTTTTGGAGTAAAGCAAATAAATAAAATAAATAAATAAATAAATATAAAGGAATTAGTGAAAAGTGTTTATTCAACGTAGCTACTTACTATAAGTATATTATTCAGAGATGTAAAACAAGAAATAATCAAGCAGGACATTTTCTAGGGCACGTGCACAGCCATATGCTCTTACCCTACCACAAGGGATGCACTTGCCCTTTGTCTCAATATTTACGAGGTAAGAGCACACTACTGTTTTTCTCGATAAATTTTAATAATTCAACGGAAATTATTTACTTAAAGTGGAATATAAACAATATTTTTTATTACTTACCAAAAATAATAACACAGAACATACAATTTTCTTAAAAACTGCAGCACATTTATGATAACTTCAAAGCAGACGTGTTCTTTACATGTGGTGCTTTCGATGTGGTTGGCATAAATCGGGGATTCCTCTCATTAATTGGGCGACATCTACGTGGATAGGATGATATTAACTTTGTGTAGATTACTACATATTAGATATTTTAATTTCTCTCATATTATATTAATAAGAGCCCGTTTATGCATTTACCCCGTTTATGCACTTACCCTACTCCACCTTACATACAATTTCTAACTTATCAGATGAATTATAATTATCCGGCACAATATCGGGAAGTTTAATGTCACGATTATTAACTGTTGATTTGAAATTATAGAAATCAACCTTCAGTGTTTCCGATATCATATTACATTATAAATAGGCGCGTTTTTCAGTATAGGATTCGATTTCGGGTCTAAAATGCGGATAATAAATTCATTCAATGCACTAGATACGAGATTGATAATTAACTTAGATAATTAGTTAGATTAAGAAACTACGTACCTATAAAATTCTACTTTTCACTTGCTAACGTGATACTAAACTACCAGACAGGTGAAAATAGCACATTCCTGATTCTTTCCTTTACAGTCGTTGGGCAAATATAAGCGTTTCTCCGAAAAATTAACTATTAACTTGATTTAATAACGCATAAGTTAAATTACAAGCTACTGAAAGACTCATGTAATCACCACAGGAGAATAAAACACAGTCAATTTGACTGCTCGATAGTTCGAATGTTAAACTTTATAGTTGACATATCGGAACCTCGGTTTGCAAGGGGATTCGCATTCGGAAAAAAGGAACAAAAAATGGAATTCCATTGTTGAAGAAGATAGAAAATAAAAGCGAGCATGGCACCGATTCTCTTCATTGCGTCAAGTTTTCCCCGACGATTCAAATAGAGAAAAGAGTCCAGAAAACAGAACAACGAGGGAGAGAAGCGATGAAAATAGTTCCTTTGCTGGATAGCGGAATGATAATCAAAGTGCAGGATCCTACTTAGCTCTCACTTTAGTTATTCAAAGAGTTCCGGTTGCCTATAGTTAATCTTATCGTTGAACGGCGCAAGGCGCGCTAAAGTACATCGTACGTATTTTTTTCTTAGGATCGTTTCCCTTTATGCGGGGGTTTCCATTCACTGGCGAATCACGTGCTAAACGACACGGCGCATGAGGGTTCTTGCACACCGAAACGATCCGCTTTAAGCGGAAGTAGGCGTATTTAAATTGTGGCGTAATTATTGGAGCACGATGCGTCGGCACGCGTGTTTCCTTGTCTGTTTCAGATTTCGTTGCCTTGCACCATCGAGTAACTCTGTTTCAAACGGGTCGCTCCTAAAAGTTTCCTGTTCATTGTGTGAAGAATTTCGAAATATTTCAAAATATTATGGAGTTATTTTTGGATTCATTTTTCTTTTTAGTATTACTTCGTATACAATAGACGAACGTTTTATTTTTTTAATTTAATTCGAATTTTCATGTGTTTTTCCATTATTGTTGCTTAACAGAAGCGACATTGATATTTTGGGGCTAATAACTAATGCTATTGACGCGAATAATAAATTTAAGGAGACTATGCATGGATTATTCCCCTATTTGTTTATCGTTCATGTTAATCAGAAATGTTATAGATTATTTATACGTTCATTAGTGATGTGAAAATAATCATAAGTACGAATTAAGATCATTGAGTGCTTTGAACAGAGTGTTGCAACATTTGTTAATTCCATAACACATAGATATGAACATCGAAAACGTTAACTGTATTATACCTGTATACCTATTACACAGTAGTTCAATGCGGTATCCAAATAGCAGAAATTTACGTATTTTAATTGTACGAGAATACGATAGTTTTTGTTTTACCTTTTATTTGCGTGAATTCGAGGAGACCAATAAAATTCTATCAAAAATATGAACATATGTGCGATTAAAGATGTTCTTAAAATTTAACACGTGACAAAGAAATTCAAAATAGTTGTACAGTAGAACAAAAATGAATGAAAAGAACAAGTTTCATCAAAGTTCATGTATCATATGTTACTCCATGTAACATTGACTTCATAGATTAATAAAGTTTTTAATAATAATCATTTTTATGTTATTATCCTTTTACCCTCAAAAGCGTTTTCGTTATATACATTCATATTTTTTTAATAATAAAACATTGATTAGGTACATTTTTGATAGTATTGAATGAAAGCAATAAACGAATCAACAGATAGAGCTATTTTATTTCAATATTTCATGTCTAATTATTTACATTATATTAAAGTTGATACTGAATATTGAATTTTATAATTTCGCTATGTCAAATGAAATGACGATTGTGAATTACTTCTCTTCGAAAAGTTCAGTTCCTCAAGAAATGTTTGACGCATTCTACATTTAATATAAAATAGTAGTTAATAAAAGCATCAATTTGCAGAATAATTTTCAGTACAATGATACTATCTTCATGAATTTAGTTATTCAACTGAAGCTAAAGGAAACGGAAACATCCTCTTTTCGTTCGGCAATTGAAAATTTTCGTTTCTTCGCGCTCGAGGAGAAACGGCGATTATATTTTTTTCTTACGGACGTATCGTT